ACCAATGGATCCAGCGGTTTGCACTTGTTGGGTGCGCCCTTCGAGGTAGTCTGCAAACCATTGGAGTGCAGTGCCGTGAAGGCCAACTTCGAAAAGATCGCGTACAAGAATGTCATGCTGGACTTTGTCGAAAGCCTTCGGCATGTCCAGCAAACACACATCACTGGCTAGTCGGGCGTCCTTTGCATGGAGAATGTTCTCCGTCAGGAGTACCAAAACGTCTTCAGTGCAACGGTTTGTGCGGTATGCAAATTGCGTGGTCGGCAGCACGTCGTTTGACTCGAGGAACCTTACAAGCTGGCGATGTACTACCTTTTCAAGCAGTTTCGCACCAATTGGTGATAATGACACGGATCTGTAGTTAGTGGCGACTGTTGGGTCCCCTGCTTTGTAAAGCGGCTCTACCACGGCGTGCTACAACGGCTTTGGTAGGCGACCAGAATGCAAGGAATGCAGGGATCTCGTCACTGCCCGTAGCGTTGTCAGGATTGATAGTGGCGAGTAATCGCTGTACTGTAGGACAGGTCGTTGGCATGAGATCTGATAGTGAGGTGTGGGTGCAGGGACCATGGGGTATCTGTAGGATATCCCGACGACTGATCAGTGACAATAACATTAAAGGAGCTGCTCACCGCAGACACATCGCACACTGGGTCCTCCCTTGCCTTGGAGCGGTCGGTTACCGCGTTCAAGGTTGACCACATTCTCCTTGAACATGAGAGTGCTGCTCACATTGTCTGGTGAAAAAAGCGTTTCTTTTCCTGCGGATTGCGTTGGATGCCTGAGACCGGGCTGTCTTATACTGGGAGAGTAGGATGTCATTTCCTCTACTAGTATCTCCTAGCCAGCGCTTGTGTAATCTGTTTTTCTTTTGCTTGAGTTGGTACGTATCCTTGTCGAGCCAAGGTAATCTCGCAGCAGCTCTTTGGCGTCTTGACGAGAGCATGATGGGTGCATGTATTTCTAGAACTGTTTTGAACCCTTCATAGAAAGCCGTCCTCATGTCGTCAACATCCATGTGGGCAGATGTAGGATTAGCGGTGAGTGCTTCCGCGAGGTCACAACGGAACTGGTGGAGATCAATGTTCCGTAAGTGGCGACGCTTTTGGCGTTGCCTACCTGGACTAGTTGTTGCTATGGCGATATGAAGGTTCGCCATCACCGCGTGGTGGTCGCTAATCGAAAATTCCATGATAGTGCAACTCGAGACAAAGTTACGGTCTGCTAGTACGAGGTCGATCACTGAACCATGATTCCCACTCGGAGTCGGCCGTGTGGGGGACTTCACCAAATTCGAGATGCCAAACATATTGCTGAGGTCTTGCGGGTGTGTACGATGGTTACTGTGAGTTATCATGTAGACGTTGAGATCGCCAATAATGTTCATGTGTGGCGCTTGCGCGTGGGCCCGCTGCAGTGACTCTTCAAGGTCGTTCCAGTAGTCAATCCTCACGTCTGGAGCTCGGTAGACGCAGGCCACTGCATGTTGACCCTGGCCGCCTTTGATCGATATCCAGACAGCTTCTAGGCCGTTCAAAGAAAGTTCAGGACAAGGTCGGATTGGCAAAGAAGATTTGTAATATATACACGTACCTCCTCCTCGTCTACCCACGCGGTCTGTCCTTGTGAGGTTGTATACAGGAATGGCTACTTCTCCGTCACCAATAGTGCTGTCTAGCCAGGTTTCCGCCAATCCCAAATATCAAAATCCTGCGCTTGGAGGACTGCCATGACATCATATACTTTGTAGTACAAGCAATAGACATTCAAAACACACCTAGTTGTAGTTTAAGAGTTCGGGTATCCTGGGTGCTCACTGGAAAACTGATGGTGGCAGCTCTTGGGGAGAATACCTGAACGTGGGGATTTAAAGACGATATAGCAGTGAAAAGTAATAAGCAGTAAGAAAAAGAACAATCACGAACGAGGATTAGCATAGAATCGAGATTACAAGCAAAAGTTATTCTTTACCAGTTATTGGTATTTTAGTGTGGTGCGGTCAGCCCTCTGAAGTACATTTTACTCGTGGGGGAATGGTGGCTGAGCCGAACATTTTGGATATTTAGAGCCCAGACCAGTGTATTTGGTTGATTCACGGGTTGGTAGCTGGGATAAAGAGTGGTACGGTCAATACCGTAGTGACCGTACCGTGTACGACGCCCCTACAGTTAGTTGTAGAACGTCAGTACCGTCGGTCAGTGTCGTGCGATGTTATCGCATGAGCTGATTGTTTAGTAACTGGTGGTGTTAGTGGACATTATAGCGTAGCTTGCAGTTCCTTGGTCCTTTTCCTTTCTTATAAATTCACCCTTGGCTCTCCATCCGGGTCCATTGTAGCATATAGCACGCACTGGAGCAGTCATGGAGACACCTGTAGTCTTCCTGTGGAAATGACATTGATTTTGGAATTTGCTGTTCAAACATGCAACGCAAGCAGTTTGTGACACCTCGTTGCTATATTTCTACATGTGAGTGTGTGTGTGTGTATGTATGTAAAGAATAATTAGAAGGAGGAAAGAAGGTGTGTGTGTGTGTGTGTGAAAAAGTCACTTCAAACAGCTGTGTGGTGGATACCAGGCTAAAAATAGTGGCGGTCAATTCATAAGCCTTGCAAGCTGTTGAACGGTGTAATCCCAGCACAAGTTGCTATGTCTCACATAGCTGTTCGCTATCATCGCTTCCGCGATGGGCATGTCTGAGGTCTGAGGTATGTGTGTGTGTGTGTGTGTGTGTGTGTGTGTGTGTGTGTGTGTGTGTGTGTGTGAATGAGTGCGCGCGGGCATGTGCACATGTCACCGTAGGCTACAAGAGTATGGTTCTTTATGAACAAAAACAGGTCGGTACCAAGGGTCATTTTGAATTCGTTCAAACAGGGCCGGAAAAGGACAATGCTCGCTGGCTCGAAATTCGCTGTAATATTACGTGTTCGTTATGTGGAGTCGACTGCATTTACAACTTAGAACTTTGAGTCAAGCTTTCTAGTCGACATTCACATAATAGGATTCTTTACATCATGTAATGCCATACCTTCTCATTACAAATTTTCCCAATTCCTGAATATTGAAAAGGAAACAAGCGTTTCGGAGACAGCAGATTTTATAGCAACAAGGACTACCAACTCATTGCATTCCCAACTCATCACAACCACGCGCTCTTCAGCCGAACCATACAGACACCAGCAAGGACACTTCCGTTGAGAGATAATAATTATTGCTCCACGCCTCTAGACAGCTGTTTCGCTCCCTGTCGGAGCTCATCAGTAGAGGATGATAATGATGATAATGGAGGAATGATCATTCTTATACACCAGAAATGGCGCAAGTGCGCGCTTTCCACATATATCAATGGCATATGCAAGCTGCTAAAATGGTAAAGTGTGAGAACAGCGATAAATAATCATAGTACGCGCTCATTGGTGGAGAAACACACCACACAGGCGACGAAAATCTTACGCGGAATAATGATGCCAAAGGAAAGAACATGTATGTTGATTATTATGATGTTGCAATGGTTGCCAATGGACCTATTAGTATCACACTCACGACTACAAGTTTCCTGGTGTGCATCGATATCGGCATCAGTGGGGCCTCCCGCTGTCGATCCTGTTGACGGGTGGACAGGTCGGTGTGAATCCTGAACGGCAACCGAGCCTGTCGCGTTGGGGGATCTCGGCGGTTTGTCTCGGCTGGCCTGCATACATGGACATTGCAACATCATAATAATCAACATACATGTACTTTCCTTTGGCATCATTATTCCGCGTAAGATTTTCGTCGCCTGTGTGGTGTGTTTCTCCACCAATGAGCGCGTACTATGATTATTTATCGCTGTTCTCACACTTTACCATTTTAGCAGCTTGCATATGCCATTGATATATGTGGAAAGCGCGCACTTGCGCCATTTCTGGTGTATAAGAATGATCATTCCTCCATTATCATCATTATCATCCTCTACTGATGAGCTCCGACAGGGAGCGAAACAGCTGTCTAGAGGCGTGGAGCAATAATTATTATCTCTCAACGGAAGTGTCCTTGCTGGTGTCTGTATGGTTCGGCTGAAGAGCGCGTGGTTGTGATGAGTTGGGAATGCAATGAATTGAAAATATGGCCGAAAGCTCTGTCGCAATATTTAGTTCTGAAGGACTACCAACTGTAATTATTATTATGTGCATTTTCGCGTTGAAGTCGACCGATAGGTCCACTTCTTCGCTTGTGCTGGACAACGAAGGCAGGAGGATAACAAAATTTTAATGATACGCTGTGGGAAAAATCAAACGATCACTGTATCAGAACCAAAGCAGCACGAGTCAGAAGAAAAGGGTCAAAGGAGCCGCAGAAGTATAAAGTAAGTGGTGGGTGAACAATGCGGTAGAGAGCATTGAGTGATCGTGTGGTAGATCAGCAACAAAGGCACCATCCAAACAAACAAGGTCACATGACGTACTTGTACGTTGAGAAGAAGACAGATATTGCAGTGTCATCCGTCCCTGCTTACAGATCCTTTTCTGTCACCCGTTGACACAGAGCTCGCCACTCGTACCTATCCACTGCAATCTTCCTGATTCTGTGCAAGTCCTCCAGACTACTCAGCTTTCCGGCATCTGCTGCCTCCAAGTCAGCAGATAGTGTACCCGGCAGGCTGGTCCTCGGCCGTCCTCTCCAGCCCTTGAGATCCTTGTTGGTGTAGTGGCTGACCATTGCCTGAAAGGCTGGTGTGCTGTCGCACAGACGGAGGACATGTCCGAATAGCCTCCATCGCAATATCTTGATGGTGTGACTGATCGGGTGGCTTTCACATCGGACGTATAGTGCGTTGTTCGATATCGTCTGAGGCCACCTGATGCCTATAAGCGACCTCAGTTGACGCCGATGGAAGGAGTCCAGTCGCTCCTGAGCTGACTTGGTAACCGCCAACGTACCAGAGTTGTACAGCAGTACAGGGATGGTGAAGGCTTGGTATAGCCGTAGGCGAAGCTTTTCGCTTACCTGCTGGCCTCGTTTTCAGAGGTTCCACATGCCCCGAAAGGCAGCTGTCGCCAGTTGTTTCCTCCTCAGCACATCCTCATCATCACCAATCAGACTTCCAAGTTTTCGTGTTGATCTCCATTCTTCTTTGTTGCGATCATTGAGTCTAGTGATTTCTGTGTACTCCGTTTTGTCATGATTCATGTTGAGCGACCATTGCACCAGGGTAGAGCTCGCCATAGCTTCTAGCTGGGAGAGCCACCGCCGACTGGTGCTCACAAAATCTGCGTCGTCAGCATAGATTAGCTCAAACGGCAGGTGAAGATCAGCATGGGGTCTGGGGGCTGCTTCCTTTCTCAGTTGCCGCAACGCTGCTTCCAGATATACCGTGAACAGGACCGGTGACAAGGAGTCACCATGCGGTGTGTCAATAGTTGTCGGAAATGTTGGTGATGCCGTTTTCCGAAGGCGGACATGGAGCTTTGTTTCCGAGAGTAGGTATTGTATCAGACGCAGTTCATCCTCGTTCACGACTTCCTTTAGTACACTCATCAGTTGGTCACTGTAGCGGGCCGCAGTCTCTCGGAGGCAAGAACGCACAAGGGTCTCAGTGAACACACTGTAATTGGCACTTGAAATGGACTGGAAACGAAATTAACTGATTGGCAACTAAATTAACTAACTGGCTATAAAAGAATCGTGCGCAGCAGCTTTGATACAAAGGCAGACTCCGTACGCTAATGTACGGGGATACAGTACGGGGATATGTTATACTCTAAACACTATACGCTTTGAAGTATTGTATTGTATTTTATCACTCTCTTATTATTGACCCCCACAGAAACTTGTGATCTCTAAGCGGTCAAATATCAGCATATATTGACCGCTTATATTGACCACTTATTATTGACCACTTAGCCCGAGGACTTAGAACTTTTTCCTCAACTTAGAAAAAAATCAGAACTGAAAGAAGAAAAATCTGAAGCCAAATGCTGGGATTTGAACCCAAACTGTCAGATTCTCAATCAAAGAACTTGGGGAACATACTACAAGAGACAACTGAAAACTTCGGTTTACACAGAAGTAATGTCCAATGTAAACGGCATATGTACATACTATTATACTATTACAATAGTATTCCTTTCTTCCTATTGCAAAGCAAAAACAGTTTTAGGTATGCTATGTCGTGATAAATCTATTATTGCCCTCATAATCGGTCAATATATGAAATATAGACCTCGTAAAAGACCTCGGGGGACCTCGGTCTTTTACTCGTTCTATATTTCATATATTGACCTCTTTAATCGTGCAATAATAGATACGTATTGTATTTATTTAAAAGGATTCTCCAAAAGCAAATGGATGCTTATCACGGAAGTCTCCCACATAAATATCGCAAGAAAAATGGGGAAATGGGGGAGAGGAGAGTGGAAGATGAAGCATGGGAAGAAGGGAAACAAGTACCTAAATATCGAGGTATAAAAGCAGGAAAGAAATCGACGAGGGAAGAAATCACCTCTGCAGATAATAGCGGGACATTTAGATGAAAAAACCCCAGCAAGGATTAATTTCAAGGAAAAAAAATTCTCAAAACGGAAAAGTTCGGAATTCCAGTCAGAGAATATCTATGCTGTGAGTAATGAGCCTTTAGAGCAATGCGAAAATTGACAGAGGACTGAACGCAGCGGATGTGTTCTGGAAGTTTGTTCCATTCCACAGATAAACTGAAGAGAGGGGATTTAAGGAAATGGGCGCCAGAACGAGGTAAAACTATAGAGGACGGGTGACAACAACTAAGGGATACATTGAATTTGAAACGAATTAGCAAAGACGGAAACTGGTAAAAGACATGATGAAAATATAGCAAGGACAGAATCTGACGACGCCACTTCAGGGATGACCAAGTCACCAGCGTGCTAACGCTACACCTCCCCTCTCAAATACAATCACGTCCTCGTGATTCGAATACATGTACTACATGTAGGTGATAGCTGGACATCAACAACTGGCTGCTATTTAGAAAGAAAAAAAACTGGCGGCATGCATGGTCGCGTCGGAATAAACTCGACGATAAGAGATAGGCATAATGGATGACTTAAATAATATAATACAGGTATGGAGTCGTGAACATTAAAGTAGATCGCGAATTACTGGGAGAGCGTCAACCGGAGTATGGCAAATAATATCGGAAATGATAACGTTTGGAATAGACAGAAGAATGAACTGATAAACAAATCATAAAGTAGAAACACACCAGGTTCACACGATCTCACGGGGTCAAAAGGGGAAAGAACTGTCCTCCAAATAGGACCTGAAAAACCACAGCACTCTTGCTGCACAACGCTGGCACAACCCGCCAGGAACATCGCAGTTCAAAAACCGAACTGAATACACTATAACTATAAGGGGCATTGTCACACACATTGTCCCACGTTAGCTGGGTAAACCGTGGCTCACCATGATCAGACTCCAGTCTCTCCGGAGGCGTGGGTTTGAATCCCACCGCTGCCACCAATTTGTAGCGGGCCGCAGTCTCTCGGAGGCAAGAACGCACAAGGGTCTCAGTGAACACACTGTAATTGGCAATTGAAATGTACTGGAAACGAAATTAACTGATTGGCAACTAAATTAACTAACTGGCTAAAAAAGAATCGTGCGCAGCAGCTTTGATACAAAGGCAGACTCCGTACGCTAATGTACGGGGATATGTTCTACTCTAAACACTATACGCTTTGAAGTCCCCAGCTTGCCAACGCTACAGTCATGTCTGATAGTGTCAAATGCCTTTGATAGGTCAATTCCGAGGATGTGAATACCAACTGTAAGCATTTGCTAAACGTCGGCACTTATGAGTAAAATGTGAAACGATGATCGCAAGGCACACGACGAAGGGGAAAGAGAGGATTTGTTCAGGACTGTTTTCTTGATACATGTAGTACAAGTATTATCACCATTTTGTTTCGCTCTTTTTCCCCTTGTTTATCTTTTATTTGTCCATATATATAAGATTTGTTTCAAGTAGCCCCCATTCCATTGCTACATAGATTCACTGACGAATGTAACAAGAAAACAGTGCTGAACAAATCCTCTCTTTCCCTTTCGTTGTGTGCCTTGCGATCATCGTTCACCATTTTACTTATAGATGTCGGCATTAAGCAAATGCTTACAGTGCAATTTGTCGTCCTTGTTGCTGTATTGAAAAGGAAGAGTGCAATTTTCTTGATTTGGTGTTGATATCTTGCTTGGGGACCCAACACACCATACTTGCATGTGGCCAGATTGCCTTGCCGAGAACCTAAGAGATTCAGTGCATTTATTCTGTTTTGCATCGTAGATCAAACGGACGATCATGCCTAATGTTATACGATAATGGAAAAGGAGAAAAGAGAAGATAACTTCAAAAGTGGAGTGGAGAAAGCCCAGAGCGAGGAGACAATAGACAATGTCCACTAAGACGAGGCCACACTGCTGGCTGTTGTCTATGGCCGTGAGAAGGATGTCAACCGCGACGGTGATGGCGTCCTCCGCAGAGTGGTGAGGAGGGAATGCGAACTGGTTGTCGGGAAGTAGATGTTCCGTGTGGATAAACTAGCAGAGCCCCTTGATGACGATCTTCTCCATGATCTTTGACACTACTAGGGGCAGCGAAATCGGCTTGTAGTTCTTTGAGACAGATGGGTCACCGGATTCGAAAAGTGGAGGCACATTTGCTAGCTGAAGAGAGCTGGGTACTCGCCCCTCAGCCATTTAGGCATTGATGAGAATGGTCAGAAAAGGAGCTAGAGCATGGTCGAAGTGGTTCAGGATGCAGCACGAAACTTCGTCACTGCCGGTTGATTTTCGGTCGTCAATAGCCTGAAGGAGATACCTCCTCACAGGTGGCGGGCTCGAATCGAATGAGTGACCTTTCTTGGTATGGACCAGCGTGTGGCACAAGGCGAGCTGGCCGAGTGGGATCTGTCACGACATCTCCGAATTGCTGACTCTGGCTGCCAATATGTGGCAACAACGGCGTGTCCTTCTTCTTCCGTCCGTCAAGGCCGTTAATCACTTGCCAAGTCTTTCGCGGATTCGACCTGCAGGAGTTCAGCAGTTGGTGGTAATGGTTGGCCTTCGGCTCTCTCTCTCTCTCTCTCTCTCTCTCTCTCTCTCTCTCTCTCTCTCTCTCTCTCTCTCTCTCTCTCTCTATCTCTCTCTATCTATCTATTTCTCTTTATCTCTCTCACTCTATCTCTCTCTCTCTTTCTCTCTCTCTCTCTAACTTTCTCTCTCTTTCTCTCTCTCTCTATCTTTCTCTCTCTATCTATCTACCTATCTATCTATCTCTATCTCTCTCTGTATCTCTCTGTCTCTGTCTCTGTCTCTGCCTCTGTCTCTGTCCGTCTGTCTGTCTGTCTGTCTGTCTGTCTGTCTGTCTGTCTGTCTGTCTGTCTGTCTGTCTGTCTGTCTGTCTGTCTGTCTGTCTCTCTCTCTCTCTCGTTGTCTCTCTCTCTCTCTTTGTCTCTCCCTGTCTCTGAGTCTCTCTCTCTCTGTCTCTCTCTCTCTCTGTCTCTGTCTCTCTCTTTCTCTCTCTTTCATCCTAGGATACTGACTTTGGGTTTGGGACAGTTCGTCTTCGCTTTGCTTCCCCTTTGTGTACTTAACGTACATTTGAGCCCCCCAGGTTGGGTGATCTGTTGCCTTGCGTCGTCGAGTTATAGTAAATGGGCTTACTAGTCTCGTCATCATCATCCTGGAGCGTTCAACATTCTTAGTTGCCGAGGGACATACACATGCGCACAACTTCGCGGCGCATCCCTTCCCCTCATTGGAACTTTCCACACCGGAGCCTTCAAAGTTGGAAGGTTATTGGTTTGCGCTTCGTACATGTGTTGGAGCTAGGCGTCAGGTTGTTGAATGTTTCAATACCCTTTTTCAGTTTTGTGCCTTGTTGTAGCACTATCTAACTCTATAAGATGTCGTTACCTTGGTGGACTGTAGTGTTAGTCATAACACGTAACTTATTGGTCTTTTCTCTTTACATATAATATTGGCTCAACATCCGAGTTCTAAGGAAGATAGAACGTATTTGTTGAGAAGTAGGAAGGCCTTCGCGAGCAAGATGCCGTCCCATAGAGCACGAGAGCCTGACGATACACCTGACTTGATAGTTTACCAGGTACATGTATGATGATGACAGCATATCACGAGCAGGACAGGTAATTGTGTAGGGTCTTTACAACTCCCTGGGCACAACAGAGGACGAATCGGGGGTTAACCGGGGCATGACTCCACGCGGTTCACATAGTAGTCGGAGGACCGGGATCCTATACCAACCTGTCTCCGGTTGCAATCAGGAACACGGGTTTCAATGTGCCTGCAGCAGGTGGTACCCTGTCATCAGGATACTCCAGTACATGTACATGACTGTACATGACTGAATACCATGTACATATTGTACAGGAACTTGTCAAATAATACTAATCACCAGACAGTTAGCTGTTTAGACATTGTTAGCCTAATGTTAGGTCTCCTCAGCAGAGCTCAGAGGTGGTGTGTGTGTGTGGGGGGGG